TGCTCCCACCGTGGGGTCAGCCCCGGCCGCAAGGATCGAGCTCCGTGTCGCGGTGATGCCCCCGGGAGCGACAAAGCTGTGGGTGATGTGCGGCACACGCGGCGGGTTTGGGGTTTCTTCGTTTATGCCCTTCGCTTTCCAACCTCGCTGTCTTTGGCTCGACCTAGGGAAGGAAAGGACTGGCAGAGGGTAAGAAGTGCCTTTCAAAAGAAGCTAATGAAACCCAGGGAAGTTGTGAAATTGGATACGCCGATCAATGAGGTACTGTGCCTGGAGAAATCCTTTGCCTGTCCTCACTCTCCTCCTGGGGGATAAAAGCAGGTCTGGTTTACCTGGTTAGCTGTTGATTTGCTCCTCAGTGATAAAATCAGACTCAGATCGTTCAGGGAATAACAAGTACAACCTGTCAGGGTCTGACCACACAGAAACTCGTAGAAAATTAACCCCATCCTGGCTAAAACCAGGACACTGAGACTGTCTCCACAGAGCAGTAAGATTATTGCACAATGATATCGCTTCCTGCAAACGGTTTTTTCTTACTTTTCTTGTTCAGTAGGCTTTGCTTTTACCCTTCATTGTTATGTTCCCCCTGTCAGGGAACACCTCCCTCCTTAACCTCTGCGTCCCTCATTGAGTTTGAGGAGCATCTGTGCTAACCAGTTTAATCCTCTTTATTGTGAAACTCCAGCGTTATCCCAGAGTGAAGGATTTCATCCCTGTGGAGGAGAGCTCAGTTCATGGAAGTACAAGCAGTGATAGCACGAGAGTCATATAACATTCAAACATATGTTCACACAGGAGGAAATTGAATCTTGTTCAAAGGACAGGGAACAGGATTCCTCTCTTACATGAGATTGTTGTCTCTTTAACAGTTGAAATGCTGAATTACACAAGATTTCTATTAGTTGATGTCATTTTATCCCTTCTTTTCTCTGCCTTCTCTCCACTATTTAGGTCCTGGAGGATTTCATGCACAGAATAGATGAAATTTGTAACCACAATGGGCAGATGGAAGATGTCTATTCAGAATTCAACAAATGGTCATTTGAAAGTAAGTATTTTGCCTCAGGATGGTCACATTTCCTTCCTGCCATGGCATTTCAGCCAATCAGGGATGAATGTGTAGCCTGATTATTTCCAAACTCTCAGCTGCAGCATCATGGAGAGAGGGTTGCAGAAAATCCAGGGGACTATCAGTACAAAATTCAGCAGCAGCTACATGAACTCTTCCCTCTTCTTACCTATGTGGCTTCTAAAGAAACTCAAACATTCTAATGACTTATAAATCCCAAACTTAGGGGAATTGCTGTGTATTTATCCAGAGTGGGATCAGACAGCACATGACTGGTTTTGTCCATTTGATTTGTTGATTATCAGCAGCACAAGATCAATGAAATGATCCAACAACAGTGAAGAAATGTTTATTGTAGACAAAGGCTGGAAAATCCCATTGAAAATGTTTCTACTGGGACTGACAAGCACAGGAATAAGTTACCAAGACAGGAGGCTGCATCTTTAGAAACCTTTCAGAGAACACTAAGGAATCTGCCAGGAATGACTTAGGACAGAAGAAACTACATCAGTGCTGCCCAAAAGGAGGAATGGTTGGGTGCAGTGCGTAATGGCACAAGCTCTGCCAGACCCATCTGCTCTTGGCTCCTCTCCTCAGCCTGTGGGCTGAGTCCCTGAAAGTGTTTTATTTTTTCCACTTTCAGTGGTGATGGCTGTGTTTGGAAAGGGAGAAATAGGAAATGACAGCTTAAAATACATAAATAAATAAATAAGGCAGGTGGAAAGAGGTGGAAACTGGTGGAGTGTGGGATGCTGCCAGTGTTTGCAACTGGTTGCTGGCTGTAGAAAGGGCCTCTTCAGTCCCACTTTTGCTGCCACTCAGCTCTCTTCAGGAGCATTGCTAATATCATCCGTGCCAAATATGCCAGCCCTGCTTGGCCCAATGATCTGCTGCTCACAAGGAGATCACTGGTGGCTCATACTTGTGGAGAAGTGTTGCTGCCAGGGCCCCTTTGCTGCATATCCTCTTGGGGTCTGAGGCAAACAAGCAGAAGGTGTTTAGAAGTGCTGCTCTCACAGGGATCTATCATGGCCCATTTTGCAGCAAGATAATCCAAGCCATTCTTGGATAATAAATGGTGAACACCACACACACTCCTGTTTCTATCATCTCATTATGATCTTGCTTACCAACAGGTATCTGCCTGGTGCTGTATGGAAAGAGGTTTGGCCTCCTGCAGCAGGATGTGGAAGAAGAAAGTTTGAACTTCATCAAGGCTGTAAAAACGGTATGGAAGAGTCTTTGCTGGGGTTGTAGTGATTTTCTACCCCTACTGATAATGGGTCACCTGCAAAAAAGACACTCAAGCTTCTGTTCTAAGTATGATACACATGCAAAGCTAGTCCTGAACATCTGTCTCACTTATGAAATGCCTCAAGCCGACAGGTTAATGGTTGGATTTGATGGTCTTAAAGGTCTCTTTCAACCCTGATGATTCTATGACAGGGAAAAATGCTGTATGGACATCAGGGTGATCCTGGAAATGGAGTTGCAGGTTGGTTGGTTAACTCTCTCTCCCTCTGAGACACTTGTTGTGCAACGTTGCTGTTGGCTGGGTGGGACTCCTGGGTTGGGTGGGATTATGTAAGTACTCTGGATTTGGAGGTTAGTCACTCCTGTAAGTAAAGCTGCTGTGCATTTTGCTGGAGCTTGGGCTCTGGTGCTATAAACCTGCCTAATTTTAGTCATTGAAAAGAGGCTTTGAGCCCAGCCGAAATTTTTAGCTCCATCTGTTGTCAAGGGAGAGAGAGAGACTGCCAAAAAGTAGCTTGTCCCATTCTAAAACAGGTGCCTAAAATAGGTAGGATTCATTGCCTACTAGAGAAGCTTCTTATCTTCCACTGGCTCTCCCTAATTTTTAGCTGAATACAGTATAAGTAGGTTAAGTCCTCATCCTTTCTGTCCAGTATGGAAAATCTGCCAGAACTTTGCCTTCCTGAAAATTGCCTCCTACTTTACAACTGAATTTCATTCAGAGATTGCAAGTAGATAGATTAAAGAGAGATTTCCACACCTCTTTCTCCACCACAGATGATGGCAACCTTTGGAATGATGATGGTGACCCCTGTGGAACTTCACAAGGGTCTGAACACCAAAGTCTGGCAAGCTCACACTAAAGCATGGGATGATATATTTAAAACAGGTTATTGTTTTAAACAGTTTATCTTCTTTCCTTTTGCCTCTGTTTTCTGCATGGTGGGATGAACTTTCTTCTTGCTACTGCCTTAAAATATTGTTAATCTCTGCCTTCAGCATGGATTGAAAGTCCTTTGCTGCACCTAAACACAAACATATTCCAACAGGGGAGAACTGTTTGCACTCAGGTTTGGTTGTGGAGCAATTCCCAGTTCCTAGGGAAATCCCCAGAATGTTGAGAGCCAGAAAAGTCATGAGTCCATTTTAATGTCATAAGAGACAAGAGGCAGAAAGTGTCTAATCTCTTTAAATTCAAGGCTATGAGTGAGAAAAGGAACTTCCCTCAAAGGGACCTCAGAGTTGTTTTCTTGAGGAACAGGAATTTTACATGCAGCAAAACCTGTTTGCTAAAAAAAAAAAAAAAAAAAGTTGAAATTATAGGTTTTCTGAACAACCTGCAATATCGTTGTAAAGCTTAAAACAGAAGCAATTTAAATTCCAAGTTACAGTTTGGCTTTGGCACAACATTTTTCTGCCTATTTAAAGTGAATTGGCCTTTGAGGTGAAAAAAAATTAACTCTAGATATGAAGATAAACTTGTATTTTTTAGTATTTTGCTAACAGTGACAGGTGTAGCTAAAGATTGAGGAAGGTTTCGGCACTTGGATGGTTGAAACACGGAGTGATATATTTCTCTTGGGTATTTGAGTACTTGAGACTTCAGGACTTTTGGTCCTGCCAACCACACGTGCACTAGTTTTATTGCTTCTAAGTTTAGGGGGTTGGAGAAAGACACTTTAAACCAGTTTTGTTCAGCAAAACCAGTTTGAAACCTTCACTTGACATGAAGAACTCCATACAAGAAACTGATCTTAACAGTTGGGATACTCATGGGCAGAATCTAGTGCTCTATAGTGTAAAAAACCAAGGAGCATGTAGAAACTTGGCATAAGTTTGTGCCTTCCCCTTGTAAACCAAAGGCTCACATTTCCCCTCAGGGAGGTTGTGTTAAGCCTCTTTGATTTTTTTCACACCTTGAGCCTCTTTGAAACTCCGAGGTAATAAATTTTACACACTTGTAGTTCTGTTTGCTAAACATTTCAGTTGACACATCACTGATTTCCTTTCCTAATTCAAGAAAGGAGAACTCCTAATAGTTTGCAGGACTTCTTTCTGTTCAAAAGTGATGTTGGGGCTTGAGGGTTTTTTTGCCTAAAAAGTGAAAATACCATTCTTTAATCAATATATTCACTCTTTACTCACTGCTTGAAACAAAAGCACAGCTTGGCATCTTCTCTCAACCTCCTGCATGTCAGACATGGGTGTGCTTTTATTTTGATACTATTTTTAGTGGTTTTTTTCCCATTAATTACCTCCTGCTCCTCCCTCCTCAGCCAAACACTCCATTGACTGTCGACTGGCAAAACACTCAGCAAACCCTGAGGAGGATTTTCTGTGTGACATCTATTCTGGAGGACAACTCTCCAGGAAGGAGCTGTATGCTGCCATTGCAGAGCTGCAGATTGCTGGAGTTGAGACAGTAAAGCTCACTTTCCAAGAACTTAAAATCCTTCCACCTCCCTATTTCCATCTATAACCCAAGAACCACAACACCTGGAAACGAGATAATCCTGTAGTTGATTCAGTGGCCCAAGTGCAAATGAGTTTTTTCCCTGAAATTAAGGTTCTTCTGTCCATCACTCCTAGAGAACAACTTGGGTGGCTTATAACCCCATAGATTTACAAAATACCATAAGGCAATGACTAGCTGTAAATGTTGCTTTTAACTTCTGGTGACTTCTTCCTTCTCTCACCACTAATGAAGCTCTTACACTACTTTCTGATTTCTTCCAGACAGCCAATAGTTTGCTCTGGGCTTTGTATAACATTTCACGCAATCCACACGTCCAGCAGAAGCTTTTCCAGGAAATCCAGAGTGTTTTGGCTGCTAATGAGAGTCCAAGTGCTGAAAGTTTGAAGAATATGCCTTACCTAAAAGCGTGTCTGAAAGAATCCATGAGGTAAGATACTCAACCTGCAGAAAGCAAAACGATCACAAAGGTTTTTACTAGTTCATGTGCACTAGGGAAAAAGAATTTTCTGGGACATATCATTTTGGTCACTTTGTTGTTTAAGGTAAACTATGAGAGATACAGGAAGCAAAAATGCTGGAAATTGAAGCCCTTGTGTTTCTTTCCCTGCAGATTAACTCCATCGGTGCCATTTACCACTCGCACCATCCACACCGAAATGGTTCTGGGGAATTATGTGCTGCCCAAAGGGGTAAGGCAATTAATTGAGCTTATTAGTGTCTTTTGCCATTTATTAACTGTCTTGTAAACCCCAGAGGTTGGCCATACATCAAATCTCAAAGTGGCTTTGCCAAAGGATGAGTGCCAGGATGAGGAATGAGGAGCTCACATGAAGGGAAACCCATACCTGGCTGTGCTGCTGTTGGGGTTAGGCAGCAATGTTGGTCTCAAAACCTTTTGGTGTGCTATTTCAAAAGTTTTTTCAGGCTTTCCCATGATTTTCTGATGAAACTGTGGCCTTTTATTTTCAGCTTAATCCTCAGGGAATGACATGACATCTGCTGAGGAAACTGCCTCATTAATATTAATATTTCCATCAACAGCTGATTCACTTGGGAGCTCTGAGCCAATTTCTAACGAGAGTCTTGATTGCTTTGTTCCTAGACTGTGCTGATGATAAACAGCCATGCCCTGGGATGCAACGAGGAGTACTTTAGGAGCTGGACTGAGTTTCAACCAGAGCGTTGGTTCCAGAAGAACTCCATCAATCCATTCTCTCACGTGCCCTTCGGCATCGGGAAGAGGATGTGCATCGGGCGCCGCGTGGCAGAGCTGCAGCTGCACTTGGCCCTTTGCTGGGTGAGTCCTCCACGAAGGCACTTTGGGAACAGTCCTTTCACATGGAACTAAGCACATCTAGAAGCCAAATTTGCTAACTGGAGTGTTTGTGTTCCAGCTCCTTCGCAAGTATCACATTGTGGCCACTGACAACAAACCAGTGGAGACTCTGCACTCAGGAATCCTCATCCCCAACAGGGAGCTTCCCATTGCCTTCCACAGGAGATGAGGTATGTGCACAAGGCTCCCCTGAGCACTTGGGACTCTTTGAACCTCATTTGGAATTGAGTGTAAGACAACAGATGCTTTTCTAAGCTTCATTCTCACAGTGTGGGATTCATTCATTGCCATCATAGAATCATAGACCTCCAAGATCAAGTCCAACCATTAATCTGCCACTCCACTCTAACCCCTAAACCATGAATCATATCCCCCAGTGCCAGATCCAGATGCCTCTTAAACATGTTTTCTTACTTTTACCAGGAATCTTCTGTGTACTAAGACAAATTTTGCACAGCTCATGGCTCTGGAATGAGTTTCATACTCCAAGAAATGTCTTCTGTGCATGGTGAAGATCAGAAAGGAGGAAATCAAACACTTGGAGAAAATAATAGCCATTATTTTGTTATGATATAACTTCTCCACTGTATTTTTAGAAGATATTCCTGAAAAATAGCATTTGATTTGGGGCAGCACTTTACGCATTAAAATGAAGATTCTGCAGTGAGGGAGGGGTACACCAGATTTTAGGTAGAAGGGAAAAGAAAAGAAATATCTATTTGTAAAGAGCCATGTAATGTTGCAACTTATGATGCATTTTCAGCATGAAAATGGAATGTAACATTTTCTCTGCTCACGTACAAATAGCTTCTTTGTATAACAGTCTAAATAGGAAAACCAAGTCTTGGCTCTAGTATTGAATCCTCAAATGAGAAATCAAGTAACATTTCAGGACTGTGGAAGATGTTACTTTGCTGGTTAACACCAGAAGAAAACCCCACTATAATTTGACTATTAACTCAGATCAATCTGAGTATTAACTCAGTATAATCTGAATATTAACTTCCTCAACCAACATTTGTTCAGTGCTATTTGCTTTCAAATAATCCATCACTACATAGATTCTTTTTCTCTTCAGTACAGGCTGCAGAAAATAAATGACTCTGCTGCCTCCTCTCAAAACCAGA